TCGTAGTTGTCGTTGGAGATCCGGATGTAGTCGTCGTCGAAAGCGCTTGTGCAGGCCGAGGGAAGTAGGAGACGACAACGAGTGGCGTCGAAAATCAACAAGATGTTCCCGGAAGCCCACCTTGCGCAAGATTCTGTGTACCCAGGGCGCATTCAAATGCGGGCGTAGCAGGTATTGCCATTTGCTTTCTTGAACCCACACCGAGGAAACTGGAAGTTTGATTTCCACTGGTACAGCACAGAAGAGCCAGTAAGTATTGGATCGTTTCCAGTAGTGAAGCGCCGGTTCAAAGAAGGCATGCTGTCCACGAAGTAGTTGTAGAAATTTGCGACTGCGTGAGTGTTCACGACGTAGAACATCCTGATCAGTCGCCCCAACATAGTATGGTGTGTGCCATGGGGAAAGTCGAATGTAGACGCACGGGTGTTGGTGATGACCTGGATCATGTATGAAGTCGTAGAGGTCAGGAAATCGCGCCCGCAATGAGCGTAGATGTCGCGTGTCAGCGAAAGTTGAGTGCATGATTTCACACAAGAGAGAAGTCTTGTAGAAGTGAAGAACTTCGAAAAACGGCGGGAAGTAGCCGTGATCCTGCGAAATGAGCCGTTGTAAGAAACTGATCAATAAATAGGCAGCGCACCGACATCGGTGAAGTTCGTACCTGTTGGCCACGGTGTGATGAGAGTTGGACATAGCGCAATTCGGAATCTGGAGGGCTATCCGGACCACCACTAAGACCTCGAGGATGAGACTCAGCCACGGCAATTGTGTGATGGATTCGTACTCCTCAACTGGAATCGACGGTGGTGGTAGTCCAGGGAAACAGTAATTCCAGCACGTCGAGAATGTGGTCAACGAGTGCAGAAGGTCGTCCAGCGACTGCCATTGTGCAACATCATCATAGATTCCGCAGCGGCGAAGTTCATCCAACATGGTGAGATGCAACCAACTGAATCTACCACAAGGCGGCGACATGAATACAAGCGTCACAGACCATCACACAAGAGGCAATGCAAGAACAAGCAAGTACAAGAGCAATCATGTGCAACGCAATCATTTGACGGACGAGTTTTCACCTGGACTCATCCGTGACATTGTTGCCGCTCCGGGCTCATATGAGAACGAAGGTCGTCATGATGCCTTCTCATCCACAAAGCAGGCGAGCGGTCACGATGAGGTGACTCAATGCCTTCTCAGTGAGTTTGGTAAGGTATCCAGGTTCAAGACCCCATGATGCTGCCATTGCGCCGAGTGTGGGCGTATCGCCCTTCGGCATGCGTTGCCTGGCTTGAAGAAGCTGCGTCGCCATAGAATCTAACGACTTGTTGCCGTTGAGTCGGGACGGGTGATTGGCCCACTTAACCAGCGATGCCAACGTGGTTGTTGTGGGCGCTTGCTTGAGGAAAAGGCGAGGTTGGTCACTGGTCCATGTGTAGTACTTGACAACTTCATCCGGCGTGCTGTGCATGGTGAGCAACTGTGACGCCGCCGGTTTGGGCGGCGGTGACGACACTCCGTGAAGAGACTGCATGATCCGAGGTTGCACCACGCTATTAAACGACTTGCCATCCAGGGCGGCCGCGCTGGCTGTGGGAAGGGAGCTGGCAGGTGACGAGGATGGTGTGAGGTTGACCGGTGGCGGTGTAGCCAACTCTGCATCATCTTTCTGGTTTGTCATCGTGGGCGAGGTCGATGCTCGAAGTGATGCGGAATATTGAGCTTGGAGAAGTTCATGTGCACGATTCAAATCATTGAACTTCTTGACCATGTCATCGGTCTGGGCGGCAGGTGCGAGAGAGGTGTGATGTTGTTGAAGAAATTGAAGTACCAGGTTGGCCAAATGGTCGTGGACCTTGATGCGCTGATTGAAGTCATCAATGTTGAGACCCAGCGTATTGGCAAGGTCCTTTTCCAGGGTGAGCAGGTTGAGTGACTGCGATCTTCGTAGTAATTTGGAGCAGGTACTCCAAAGTAAGGCCTCAGTGCGGGTGCGAAAGCCTTCCCACGTCACGAACCTGCCGTGTGCAAATGGCCTGAGTAGCCAGTTGGTGAGGCCCCCGTGGATAACCTGAACCAGGCGTACGTCACGAATATCCATGCCGGACATGTCGCGAAGGTTGCCATGTGGAGTGTTGGCAACGGTCATGGGCAGGCTGAAGTTGTAGAGTTGATTGACGTCAAACATGCCGTCTCCAGGTGTCCAGTCAGGCGAAGGAGTAAGCCAGGCTTTCTGAGGACGAACCGGTAGAGCTGCAGGTGGTCCAGGTGTAGGTGTAGGTTGGGAAGTAGTAACCGGTGGTGGCATCACTGGTGTAATGAACTTGGATGGCGTGGGATCTGGAGGGATCGGCATCATGTAGTTGATCGCTGGGTATTGGAATTGTTGTGTGGGACTGTGAGTCGATTGAAAATTGGTAGGCATCATCGGAAAGTTGTTGGCAGCGTTGTAGCCGGAGTTGTGTTGCCATGAAACCAAGTTGTTCCAATCCATGTTCTCCGAGACCTGGGTGTCATGGTGCTCACGTCGGCGTGCTTTGTGAGCTTGAGGGGACGGACTCCGATCACGTCTACGCCGAGTCCTGGATCTATCCCGATCATCACGCCGAGACATGGTGACGCAACTGACTCTGAATCAGCACACTTCCACCTTGAGAGAATCGGACCCGACAACATTCAAAGCAATGCAAATAAAAGTTAGCGGCCGTCAGCTGCAATGGTCAACCGACATGTACAAGACAAAGCAAACCCAAGTCAGCAAACGTCAACAGCAATAATCAGCAACTGCAATGAAAGTCGGCAGCTATCAGCAGCGGTGAGACGTCACTATGATCTGACGGCTTTCTTCCCTTTAGTGAAACCTCGTTCCTGGTTAAATGTGAAATTCCGCTGTTCTATGATAAGCACGTTGAGGTCAAATTTTCCGACAGAGCCGGCCCGGGGTCACACAATGGGTACACCCGAGGATTCCCCACGAATGGGGTGTACACACTTGAACTCCAGATGGAGAGTGCTAATCTTTCGAGTACAACTGATAAGTCTCGAGTACAACCGATGAGTCTCGAGTGGGTGTAGGTTCGGCTTGCATTCACTTGGTTTCCGTCTAGCAGCGAAAACGTTACAAATTCAACATGAAGCACACACAGCGAGAGAAACAACAGGCCAAAAGGACTTTACATCACCAACTCCAAATGTCGCAGGTACGTCGAGGTGATCAGCCTCGATATCCGCATTTGCTGTGGCCGCTTCGTTGGACCATCGCACACAGCAAACGGATGGTCCCCCTGTTGACGAAGAAAAGATTGGTGACAGGGCATTCTGTCACTCCGCACACACACACACACACACACACACACACACACACACACACACACACACACACACACACACACACACACACACACACACACACACACACACACACACACACACACACACTCACACACACACAAACACAAACACACACACACACACACACACACACACACACACACACACACACACACACACACACACACACACACACACACACACACACACCAAAAAAAATCCCCACCCCTCCGCCCCAATAACACACACACACACACACACACACACACACACACACACACACACACACACACACACACACACACACACACACACACACACACACACACACACAGTTATGCTGATGCGCACGCGCTGGTGAGAATGATGGGAGCACCGTGCTCCGCCGCCAATGGCCCGCGACTAAAAGCACACTTCGCACACGCGCAGTCATGCCGAGGCACACATGCTGGTGACAAAAACAAAAAGAGCCGCTCAGGCGCGCCCGCCCAGCCGTGTATCTATCCCTGCCAAATGGTCAGCACACCCGCTCACGCACGCTTACGTGCATGCCTGCCAAAAGATGAGCACACCCGCTCACGCGCACCAGCTCAGCCCGTACATTTTTGCCTTGGGAAAGATAAGCACACCCACCCGCTCACGCGCGCCCGCTCAGCCGCTTATCCATGCCTGCCAAATGATGTGCACACCCGCTCACAGGCACCTGCGCAGCCGTGTATCCACGCATGGCATATTGAAAAGCACACCCACTCACGTGCGTTGGCTTCGCTTGTGTATCTTCGCTTGGCGAATGACAAGCACACCTGCTCATGCGCACCCACTAGCTGTGTATCCTTGCCTGCCAAATGCTGCTGGGCTGTTGGGCCGTTGGGCTGTTGGGCTGTTGGGTTGTTGAGCTGTTTTTTTTGGCTGTTGGGCTGTTGAGCTGTTTTGCTGTTGGCCTAATGGCATGCACAGCGGGGTCCAGGGTGACGGACGTGTGAGGCTCATGTCCTGTCTCGCTACAAATTGGCGTGGCTTCACGTCGCGAAATTGCTTGTGCAGGAGCCACAATTTTTGGTGAAGCAAAACTTGCTTGAAAACCTCCCGCCCTTCTATGCAACACTTGCCTGAAAGCCTCCCGGCCTAGCCATGGACGTAGCTTTCCGTCGATTTCAGGCCAGCAGCTGGGAAGAACGCTGGGGGCCAGGGAGCTGCCACGGTCGGTCCCGAGCTGCTTGAGCCCATGCTGAGGCTGAGGATGGGGCAGACCCGGAGGTAGACCTTCGGATTGAAAATGAGTTGCCGTGGGTAACCCGCTTTTCACGTTGACCCAACCCCAGTCCCGGTATCCCTGGATGACATGTGGTTGGAATCAGGCCACTGGAGGGGCCAAGAGCCAGCCCCCTATGAAACTTAAGTGGCTGGTTGATTCATATTTGGTCAACCCAGATTGAATTTGGTCCAATCCCCTACTCCAAGTCCGCCGACGAGAGACTGGCGCGTGAGCAGCCAGGCGGGATCCCGCCTGCGACAGGAGGGCTTGAGATGCCGTGGCCCAAGCATTTGGGCCATGCGATGATGGGCCCTTTTGACATTGAGTGGAGTTTCAGTTCAGCCCAGCTGCGGAATCTGAGCGCAACACCTTGTGGCAGCTTGCAGGGCCTCATTCTATTCCCTTTTGCTTTCATTTAAATCCTGCGAATGGATTGCAATGCCTTGTTGAAGTGACTCGGACACCAATGGCTGCAATCTGCCTGCAGTACTTTGTGCAATGTTTACCTTACGCAGTGACCTTTTGCAGTGGCCTGTTGCGGCGACCTTTTGCAGCGACCAATCGCAGGATATTACAGGTTCCCTCGTTACAGAGTGCGTCCATGCAGCGCTTTTCGGTTGCCCCAGAGTCGCGACAATTCGGTACAATGCCTTGCGCAACATATGACCCTTCTCTGTACAGAAGTCTGCTTCAGACTGGCGATCATCTCACTCAAGAACGTTGACAGTGCAGTGTAACAAGCTGAGAGATGCCAGACATGGGGTCCGCAGGCCTGAGCGGCACCAGCGATAGCTTCAAGAGATTATCTCATGAGTGCTGCCCTGAGTTGATCGCACTGCAACCTGCCATATGATCTAGGGTGAAGGCGTCACTGAATAATGACTGCGGAGAGGGCAAAAAGTCAGGAGGCCACAACGGATGCTCAACGGGCATGCCGGCGGAATAGGCGGTGTATCCTTTATCTTGGCAAGAAAGGTGTGAGAAGTTTGCCCCCCCCCCCCCCCTCCCACAAGGTATATGCGCAAGTGTTGAATCAAACATCTTTGTCGTGTAGTGTGATCCGGCTGGAGTATTCTTCTTTGGAGCTCGCTGATCATGCGAGGTGCCTTTGGCACAATTTTCATTGTCAACGCTTCGCGCTGCCCGCCTCGGCCAGCGCGTTTGGTTTAGAGGCTTCCTTTGGTCTCCGTTCTTACTCCAGGGCGCGTGCAGGCAAGAAACGAGGTTCATGCCTCTCATTGGCCCATGCGTGAAAGCATCAGCTGCACGAAAGTGTCCGCTTGGCACCAAAGGGCAGCTAGCCCAAGGGCAGCTAGCCCAAGGGCAAGGGGCTTGGGCTGGTTGAAATTTCCAAGCACCACAGCTGGATGGAAGGAATTGGGGCTGAGGTGAACGCGTGGCTTTTCAGAGCCAGAGCGTTAACGAACTAGGACCTGGGGCGGCAGGGCTGCGGATAAGTGGGGGCCAGGTGTGTGACGCGACATGGGTCTTGGGAGGGGGGGGAAGATTGGGATGGAGATTAAGCACCCTTCCTCATATTAGACGCCAACGCGCATGTTGTGTCTCAAGGTTGGCGCAGTTTGAGCAGGAAGTCAGTGTCTTAGCACGCTAATGTGAGTGGCAATGAGGCACCTGAATTGCGTCAGCTCCTGAGATCCGAGGTGTCGGATCAGTCTCAAAAACTCTTGGGCACCCATCTGACTTTTCAGACAAAGTGTTGCGCTCAGCTCGCAAGAGTGGACTGCGCTCAGCTTGCATGAGAGTGGCCCGATCTGCCATGGATTGCGCAAGGTTTGGTGCTGAGGAGGCGGGAGGGTGCATGTGCCGTAGGTCACAAAATAAGTGGCACGGGATCACAAGTTCAACTTCCGGAGGCAGATTGCGCAAACTCAACTGTGGCAGAGCTCGAGCCCAAGCCTCGGCAAAAACTTGTTTTGCACGAGCCATGCAGCGATGCCGCCTTCGTTGCAACAGCAAACGCATGGAGACTGAGAGAAGGCCTGCGTTGATGCCAGGCAAAGCTCCCGTGGTGAAGCTGAGGCCAGATCGCGCTCGACTGTCCGACGCAAGTTGCATGACCTTGCCGATGCAACCCCTTCCAATGACACGCAGGACAAGCCTTCCACAGCTGCTGGGGCCCTTCCCCGGACGGAGCTGGGCGAGGCTACAGGGCATGTGAGAGAGAGAGAGAGAGAGAGGGAGAGTGAGCCGTAGCACACAGTTTTCCAAGTTTGTGTGGGCCTGGACAAGACCTTGTGCACAGTCAAGCTTAACCATGTTGTGCGAATTGGCTGTGAATTATGAATTGCTTTGTTCGCCGGCAAGTAGATTGCAACTGGACGAATTGCGGTGAGTGCGCCGACTGAAGGCACACAGCGAGGAACTTGATTGCCCCGCTGGGCGCATGGCTTAGCAGGCAAGGATGCAGGGCAGGCTGCTCACCTGTTTGACAGGTTTCTAGCGTCGCTGAACTCTGGGTGGCGGTAGCACTCGACCCCTAGATGAGCAAATGACAGCACAAATGTAGAGATTAATTGCATGCAAGACGCACAAAAGGCCAATGCGGACTCTTAGTCCTTTGCGGCTGGCTTATGCACATGCTTGCCTGCTGGCGAACCTCCGGCATATTGCTGCTTACCGGCCCAAGTTTCAGCCAATAGAGCTGTGGCAACGCACTTCAGGGTAGTCACTTTTCCCAGAATAGCATCAAAGACGACCATGCACGTTCAGAGCAACCCCAGCCAACAGCCACGTCGCAGGACAACGCTCTAGCAATACTCGGTGGCGAGCAATGTTGCAAGCGCCGACGGCCAATGGCAAGAAGCGAGAGTCAGCACCAGACCGACCCAGGGCACAGAAAGGAGCCGACTCTAAGCCAATCAAACCAGGCTTTGTTTCACAGAAGGGTCGAGGTCGAGGAAAGAAGAAAGGGCGAAGCGAGCGGGAGGAGCAAGGCGTGCAAGGCTTGTTGGGCCCGGCACCCATCCCGCTGATGCCGCAGAGGCTTTGGCCCCTGGTGACAGTGCCAAGCTTCCAACCCGTTTTTCAGGGCCTGGATGAGGCTCACTTCCAGCACGGCAGCTCCAGCTCCAGCACGCAGCCACCGAAGCACCCGCCATCTTTGCAGGCACCCCCACAGCCTCGCCGGCTATGGCAGCAAATGGCAAAGGGTCGGGAAGACCTCATTCACGCACAGGCTGGAAAGGCCACTACTGTATGGGCTCATTTTGCAGGTGTGCCAGATCTCAAGATCGGCGCTTCTCATGATGAGGAGGAGGCCCTGAAGCATCCCATTTCACAGGCCCACGCGGCCCGCAAGGAGAGCGTCACAAATTGTGAGGCGATGTCGGAATGCAGCACGGCAGATACGACCACCACTGCCTGCTGGTCATCGATCCATCCGGATGATGCCGCGTTGGCCGAACGGATCGCAGCGGTGCTGATGGATCGCGTGGATCCAATGAATGTGGCCAGTAGTTCATCTGGCTTGGGTGACATCCCTTCAAGCAGTCTGGATCCCGCATCTGAAGCACAGAGCCCATCACATCAACCCAGCTGTTCGCTGCCATCCAAGGAGCATTGGGCATTCAGTCATGGCCGCGGCTGTCGCTACCGTTTTTTTTTTCTTCTTCTTTTTCTTCTTCTTCTGATTTTGTTCTCAGGGGTGCCCTTCCCGCTGCTGCCGCTGCCAATGCTGCTCTTCAGGGAACGTGGCGTCACACGGGAATGTAGTGTCAGGGCGTATGCGGGTCACGGGTTAGTATGGCGCACAAGGGTTTGAGAACAGTGTGCCGTCACAAGCCCGCGAGGCCTGAAGGAATGCATTTTTGGAATGTTCTTTTTTTTGGAATGTTTGTTCGCCGGTTCCCAACTGCAGTGCGCTAGCTGACAAGCAGGCTTCGCATGATTGATCCCATCTAGGAGGTGAGGATGAGAAATGTCTCTATCTTTTGGAGGGTGCCCCCCCCTTTTTGCGGTTTCAAAGAGAAGCCCATTTTTTGGGGACCCCCAAAAAAGGACAGACTCCTGTTGCAACGCTGCAATGCTTCAGATGACCCCTGCGAGGAGGATCAGCTGGCCTTGAGCCGGAAAAGATGAGGAGAGAGATGGTGCACCACTGAATGGGCGTGGGGCCAACGCATGAGTTTGTGTTTGCCTCTTTTTTGCCGATGGCACGGTGGGTCCTTGACCCTGGCCAAGACTATAATCAGTGTGAGTGAGTATTTTCCTGTTGGCAGCTACTTTTGGATCAAAGAATCATATTTCCAGGCAGCTACTTCCGGATCAAAGAGACATATATAAGTTAAGTTGGCAGAGATGCAGAATCACATTCAAGGAATTTCTTCAGTAGCTGCCATGTACCCTATGCCCGTCCAAATCTTCCTGTATTTCTCAGCCCGGCTCGCTCACCGCAGATTTGTGCCTGCCTTTGTTTCAGGTAAGCATTGCGATGCCACTGCAGGGAGAGGCAGGTGTGCCTGGACACAGCAAAAGCTGTGGAGCATGGGTAAAGACCCAGGCGCGAGCGGTTGCAAGTCGAATGAAAAGAAGCACCGTGATCGTGCATAAGCGGGTTCATTGGGGCAGATGCCTTCTAAAACGCATCAGAAGATGAGGCGGCGAGGCGTATTGCAGGCAGGGAAGCGACTTGTGGCTCTAAGGTGTACAAACTTCATGTTTTCCTGCAGCAGAACTACCCATTGGAGCTAAGATTCAACCACCAAAAAGTGCAGGGCGGCTGCCAGACGCCATGGCGGCTCGAAACCCGGGGCCATTTCTGCAACAGAGCCTTGGCAGCACACAGATACGGCAGCAAAAATTGGCTGGAGTTCTTTCGCCTGTCCAACCAAGTTGCTCAGTTTTTGCTGGCCTGCCCTTTGGTACTTGGTTCATCCAAGGACGCCAGTGGGTTTTCCATCCTACTGTCGTCACATCACCCGGCACAGCTGGCTGATTGCTTTGCATGTGCGTTCTCTGCGCCAAATCAAATCCTGCATAGATGTCAGGGATTGGATGGCAAGAAAGGCCTTCGAAAAGAGTGAAGTCAACACTCGCGTGTACAAGGCTGGTTGGGTTGCCACATAGATGTGGGTGAACAGTTGTTGCAGTCCATCTACGAGAACATGGGCGTGAGGGGTGCCATTCCTATCAACAAGCTCGGCGCATAGACCGCGATTTTTGGCTTTTTCTAGCTGGGAACTTGACCGGCTGCAAGGTACGTTGGTCGGAATAGAATCCACTTGCGTGGCATCACAGAAGGCTATGCCCGAGGAAACAAGAGGCATTCGCTTTGTGGCCCTTGAGCATGCCGGAATCAAGTTAAAGCGCAGGTGGACCCACATGAACAAGCACGGCTTCAGCCAGCTGTACCGCGAGGGTTGGCTGATCAAGTGCCTGAACATCATTTGCACTGACTGGCTAGTTTTGCCTTACGCGCTTTGATGCAGGTATGGCTACGATCCAGATCGCTATCATTGATGTGGGGCGGTTGCAACTCAGATTGCTGCTCTCGAGCGCACGCAGGCGTTGTCAGAAATAGAGCCAAACCTTCGGTGTCGCACAAGCTTGCCAGCAAGCTTGTTTGCTGGAGAAATATTGCTTGTGAATGAAACCTCAAATAAGTTCTCAACGTTTTGTGCTCGCAGCAGTGAAGTGAGCTACTCCGCTACATAGTGCGTTAGCTGATGCTGGCGATGCCACGAACTGATGCCTGAGGAAAATGACGCAGGAAAGTGCTGATGACCGCGATGATTGATGTTGATGATGCTAATTTCCGGATCGGCTGACCATGCGAATGTCACAAATCTGAAGAGACACCTGTTCCAGAGACATTTGTTTGGGGCCGTCCTCGATCTTCAATCAAGAAGCCGCAAATCTCTCCATGGCCATTCCCTTTCACACTTCCTTTAGTGCCTGACTCGCCAAGGGGAGGTGGCCACCCCTAGCAATTCTACTCATGACGACGCCTGTGCTCGGTTTTCGCGTTGACCAAGATTGGACGTGATGCGGCGTTGATTAATTTCCTGATTTCCTATCTTTCTTTTGTTCAAAATATTATCAATATCAAAACAATCAATAATCTCCTCAATCTTTATCTAATTTATTCTTCAATTTTTATAATTTAAATAATTATATATATATAATATCTAAAATTAAAAATGCAAATTTCTTTATACTAATAATATATTTAAACCCATAAACAATTTTGCAAAAATATAAAAATTTATATATTTATATAATTAAATATTAACAATTTTAATACTATTATATATATATATTATTAATAATTCTAAACATAATTTAATTAAAATTATATTAAATATATATATAATAATATTATTCTAAAATATAATGAATAATTAATTTAATATAATTAAAAATATTTAATTATTAGAATTTAATTAAAATATTTTATAATATTTATTATTCTTTTTTTAGAAAATATCGGTTTTTGATATTATATTATTTAAATATGTATTAAATAATTTGAGGATAGAATCTAATATTAATTTATTCTGTTAAATATTAATTTAGAATTTATTTAAACCAAATAATCATTTAAACTTATTATAATTATATTCTTAATTTTTATTATAATTTCAAGATCCTCAAAATTAAATGTTTATGTTTTATTATTGATTGATATACTTAAATAATATAATATTATATATTAGTTTTTAAAATTTTGTTTAAATTATTATTAATATAATTAGGATTTAAATAATTATTTAAATATTAAATATTTTTGGTAAATTATATTTTTTGGAAACACTAATACAACTTATAAAATTATCAAAATATTTATATTAAAGAAATAAAATTATATTTAACAAATTATAATATTTTAAAGAATTTAAAAAATAGATAATATAATGTATTATAATATAAATAATCTATTTAAAATTGTAATATTAAATTCGATTATTAAAATTATTAAAATATTCTTAAATAATTATTATTAGAAATTTGTTAGAAAGATATTATATATATTTTTCAATAATTCATGGTTTTAATATTTTAATTTTTATTACAATTTAATTAATCTTAATTTTTTTATATATAAAATAATATTTATAATATTAATTTATTATAAAAATAAATATTAATTTAAATTTGATAAGATTATAAAATTTAATTATTCTTTACTATATTTTTGGTATTTCAAATAATATTATTATATTATTCTATTTTTTTAATATATAGATATAATTCCCCAACAGCTGAAAGCTTTGGGGTCTCAGCCCAGATAGGCTCCGGGGTGGTGCGGAGCAGCCCTGAGGTAAGGTTCCACCAGGGTTCCACCAGGGTTCCACCAGGGTTCCACCAGGGTTCCACGAGGGTTCCACGAGGTTCTGCGAGGGCTGCGGGGAAAAGAGCACCGCATGCTGTTGGGGATATCACCTGAGCTTATTATTAATAACTAAAAACAAATATTAATTCCATCAACGGCAATACCAACAACCAAATCAAAGAGAAAGAAAACACAAAAAAACAAAAAACAAAGAGAAAGAGAAAAATATAATAAATAAAAAACACAAAAAAGAAAAGAAAAACACAATAAAAAATAAAGAGAAAAAAAAAGAGGAAAAGAGAACAGAAGAGACAAAGAGAAAGAAAAAGAGAGAAAAGGAAAGAGAGAGAGAGAGAGAAAGAGAGAAAAGGAAAGAGAGAGAAAGAGAGAGAAAAAAAGAAAGAGAAAGAAAAAAAGAAAAAGAGAAAAATAGAGAGATAGAGAGCCAAGCAAACAACCAAAAAAAAACTAGAATTAATCAGAAACGACAAGAAAAACAAAACCAAAAGAAGCAAGCGGAGCTTAAAAAGGGGGAGATACGGTATGCGGCAACGCAGAAATGTGTTGTTTTTACGAATAGGCCCATAAAAACAAGGAATAAAAATAGAGACAGATATAAATAGACATTACTAAATAAACAAACGCAGACACGCGGAAAAGAAAGACAGAGATTACAGATACGGACACGGAAACAGAATGGGATACACAGAGAGAGACAAAGATATGGACACACCCGGCACGAAATTTTCAAGTAATTTCGACTTAGACAAGCCCCCGAATTTCCCCGAAATTTAACCCGATAATTTTTTCGAAGAAATTTGCGGGGGTAACGTCCGGCAACCTAAGAGCTACGTTGCCGGAAGCGACCCAAAATTCGGGAAAATTTGGCCGGATTACGCCGCGGGAACTCTAAGCAAAGTTATTAAGAACTCCCCGAAATTTCGGCGAAATTTCGGAGCCTTCCGGGCCGCGTAAAGAGGCGGGAGCTTATGCCGCGGAGAAAAGACCGAGACAAACATAACCGCTCGCCACAAGCACTACGATTTGGCCGGAGTACCGCTATAACGCCTTTCCGGTGCATGGGAAAAACAATCTTATAAACCTCTCAATAATTTCAATACTATTCCCAATATTATATATATGTCTAAATATTCTTTCATACCTTCCCATTATCCCCAAAACCTCCCAATTTTATCCAAATTGCATTTTTAATTACACATTTTATATATAATAAAACTAATACATACTATTTTCAACTAAAATAATATTTATACAAAATGAATTTCAATTATTCTGTTTTCTTCTTTTAAATCTCCCTTAATCCCCATCTTTTCCAATATATTAAATATGCCTTTAATAATCATTCATTTTAATATATTAAATTACAAATTTAAGATATATTTAAATACATTCTTTGCTTAAATTCATCAAACTATTATATTTATATATATATATATTTTTCATTTATATAATATAAAAAATCTTTTTCTTTTTTTCAATTCAATTAATTTATTTATCAAAATTCCTTATATTATATATGTGTATATTGCCTTGTAAATAACAATTTCCTTTAATTCTAATAAGCAAAAACCAAGATTTCATTTTTTCCCAAACATATTACAAAAGGTTCTTCCGTACGGAGCTCTTAATCAACTTGCGCAGAATAATTTGCACAGAATCACCACTATATAGATATCAAGAGCTCTTAATCAACTTGTGCAGAGTAACTTGCGCAGAATCACCAGCATAGAGATACCAGCATGGAGATACTCGCACAGAGTTACTAACATAGAGCAGCTTACGCAGAATTAGCAACATAGAGATACTTGCATAGAATCACCAGCATAAAGATACCAGCATAGAGATACTTGCACAAAATCACCAGCATAGAGATACTTGCACAGAGGCACCAGCATGGAGTCACCAGCATAGAGTTACTTGCGCAGAGCCAAGTGCAAAGAGCCAAGCGCATAGAACCAAGTGCTCAGAGCGAAGTGCGAAGAGCGAGGTGCAAGGAGCCAAGTACACAGAGCTAAGTGCACAGAGCCAGCCAAGTGCAAAAAGCGAAGTGCATCGAGCCAGGCGTAGAGCTAGGTATATAGAGCTAAGCTAAAGGCTCGGCATTAGCAGCTATGTAAGCCAGACTAAGTAAGTTAGATTAAGTACTTAATGCACGGGAAAAAAAGAGAAAGAGCTCGGTATTAAGAATCTCTTTTAAGGCGGGGGGTGGGGATGTTGCCGACGATCGGGAGTACATACAACCCTCTATGGAGATCGGAGTAGTCGAGATACAAAAACTCGAATTTTTTTGCGTTTTTGATATTCCCGCGCGACCCTCTGCGGGGATTGCAAAAACTTGACTTTTATGCGTTTTTTTTGCGGTGCCCGCGCGACCCTCTGCGGAGATCGGCGTGGTTTTTTACGTTTTTGTCGGTGCCCGCGCCCCCTCTGCGGAGACGGTCGAAATGCAAAAAATCGAGGTTTTTTGCGTTTTTGACATTTCCGGATAAATTCTCTACGAAATCGGCCTGGTCGAGGTGTTCCGTAGCCATTTTGGCTCCAGCCATTTAGCTCAAGGCCGTATCGGTCAAGTTGCTCGGCGAACCCAAGAAGTTAGTAGGTGCTGGGTGGAAGGCCCACTGGCACCGAACGCAGTTTAAAGAGTAACAGGTGCGGCTTAATAGGGGGTTATTTCTTGCTCTTTTTTGGGGTAGGCCCGTAGGTTGTTTCTTTTGTAGCATCATTAGGAACATTGCTTGCCCTTGAGTGCATTTACCTGTCGTGCACAGACGTGTGCCCTGCCTATATAACAACCAATTAACATTCAATCCTTCCTAGTGGGAGTCCCGCTCCCCTTGGTTAGATTGAACTTATTGTGTACGGATTCCATTCCAAGTGGGAGCCCCGCTTCCCTTGGTTAGTCTCCTTCACATTGTGTGCATCCCTTGGGGGGGGTTCCACTCCTTTTGGTCGAAACTGCGTGTTGCTTTGATTCCCTCTCTGCCTAGTGTGGGCCCCGCCCACCTTGGTAGGGTTGGATGCTTTGGGTCCCCTTACAAATCCCCTGTTTCATATGGCCTGGGTTGAGCCCAAATTTCGCCTGGGTTCGTGCTTTTGCCAAGGTCCCCTAACCCGGCCTACTCCTTGCCTAGTATGGGCCCCGCCCACCTTAGAAAGGTCAGGCTTGTGTTTCCTTGCTTTCTCGGGAACAACCTTTTGTTTCCCTTGCAGATATCTTTGCC